TCTCTCTCTCTCTCTCTCTCTCTCCCTCCCCTTCCCTCTCTTTTCCTTTCTTCTTCCCTTCTTCTTCTCTCTCATTGGTAAATTTAGTGTATAATCGCTCTCAATTTTCATTACCACAGACATTATTAAATAAACGGATATAAGCGATCGATTGCAATTTCGTTCCAATATATTGAAAGATATAAAAAGGAAAGAAACATACATATACACACATACACAGAGCCGCGCACACAGTCGATCTATATGCATGCAATTGTTCTACGCGTGCACGATACTTTCCGATCAAAGATTTTGAATCATCCTTTGTTCTTTTTTCGTTCTTTTCGAGGACTAAAAGATAATACAATTCATATAATATAGATATCTATTCGTGTTACTTGCACTTTTTGCACTCAAAATTTCCGTTTTTCCATTCTTCTTATTCAACGTCCGAAAATATATTTATCTTGTTTCCAGTGCAAATCATTTTGAAGATTTCAAGCAAATCTATTATTATCCATAAAATTATAAATTATATATATATATATCTTTGAAATTATAAATTATGCATTTATATCTTTAAACATAAATTTCAATTTTTTGCTTAAAACTTAAATCCATTCTGATTTTCTTGGTTGTAAGCCATGTTGCAAAATATTCCGACTCGTATACTATCGAAATTTTGTCTGGTTACAAATGAAAACGTACAACGTGTATTATCCTTTTACAAATAATTCGTTTGATGAAACTTAAATGAAAGAAGTGTTTGTTGGAAATTCAAGTTGGAGAAGATTAAAGACTGTCGATGATAAAATTCCATCGAGCCCTCGATAAATTTAATTAGTCACTTTGTTATACATTTTTACTACAATCGCTAAAGCCTATTGTTTGGATACACTTACAATTCGTATATTGATCGTATTTAGCATTAATATTACGATTATTATTTTATCATTACCGATTTTATTATTACTATTTGATTGATTTATCACAAAGCAGCATTCATATTTTGTTACTAAATCAGATTCTGTTGTTGTGTGGTTTAATATTGTCACTATTTGTTGTTAGTTTTCTTCCATATCATTAATTCGAGATGTCGAAATTAAGAATTAGGTATTTCGACGTGTCTCAGCGTTGCTACACGTTCACTGTCAACTTAATTTTACGGTGCAAGAATCTTTTTATGTCCGCAAGCGCGCGCACTTGCGAAATACTTGACAATCCCAATTCAATCTTGATCAAGTGTTGTGTGTGTATGTATGTGTGTGTATTTGTGTGCGACGTGTGTATTGTTATAAGTCATAAGTATAATTTTTGTTACGCGTGCAACGTAAATCACTTTTAGAATTCTTTATCAAAATCCTAACGCTAAACAGAGAGAGAGGGAGAGAGAGTTCTGTTCAATTATTATACATGACGTTTAGCGCGTAAACAAAAAGGATCGACGCTGATGGGATTACCGTGAATAACGATACTGCTATTATATTATGCGTTCGTTTACACTTTTATTATAAACAAACTCCTCTTAACAATACATAATTGTAAAGACATGTCGTTCATTCTTACATGTTGCTCATCTAACGATCGTTAGTCATATTCTACCAATATAACATGACTATCGTCTAACGACTAAAATTGCACAAGCGGCGATGCTACGCGAGATGCGCAGCATCGCAACACGATTATCGTTGGTAGTCGATTTCTAAAACCCTTAGCGTTTTTCATAAATCTGCCTATATTTCAAGTAGACACGATTACTATTATCGATACTTCATTGCTTTAACTAAAAAAAAAGAAAAAAGTATGTGTTACGGTTCGCCTTACGACAAAAAGTTTCATGTCCTAATAACATTAGAATCGCATCCTTTTCTACGGGATCAAACTGTATTACTGTCACTTCATTCATCGTTATTATTATTCCTTGAATCTCGATAATAAATGTAAATTAATAACATACAGAACGGATGTTAAAAGTTGACCGTGCAATTTACAAGATATTTGTGCCTGCAGTAACAACAGAAGAAAATAAAACATCTCTCTTGATCATATTAAGCTACAACCCAGTACTATATATTTATCCTCTCTCTCTCGCGCCCGAAATATTGTATAATTCTACTAACAAAAAGTTTTACGAAATATTATTTTAATTTTGACACATATAGAAAACATTCATAAGAGATTTCAATAGTTAAAATAATAAATTAAAGACTATGCATGTAAATCAAGACATAAAGACTTAAAATCTCAATAGTCTCTGATTGCATAAGTCGATATTTTTCCGTGTCATCAAAAAATATTGAACATCATTGATTAAGCATGTACAGGCGATTGACACCTAATATGAGAAAATATTTATAAACAGACGAAATGTTTTTTATTGTAAATTTTCACTGATTTAGCAGTTAGATTGCTAATTTTGCACTGCTTATTTTATCGACAACAATCTCTTTGCAAAATATACGAATAATATATAACATGGATAAATATTTAAAGATACTATCATACTTCGTGTAATAATATTAAATGTAAAGTATATACAGAGATCGAAATTCCTTTTTTTCAATATACTAAAAATACGAATCCATGAATATAAATATGATTGTACATAAGATGAAGAAAAGTTATAAACTTCGAGGAATCGAGTACTGATTAAACCCATTTTAGTTTGGTATTTTATTATAAGCACAAGGTATATATGAATACGTAATGATGTTCGTAATGTCATCGGATATTTTATAACTGTATCTTTACACCAAAATACCATTTGAATTGGACTTAAAGTATCACGAGATCTGTTTATGCCGATCAGGATCTTCCATGTTTATTGATTCGATCGGTAAATAAAGAATTATCATAGTCGCAGTTTTACAATCGATACGCGAGTTTCGTTTTTATTATCGCTCGTCATTACTTGCAGTACATCGAAGACGACTCAACCACCTCGTAAATCGCCACCTTCGTCGCTGCTCCGTCTCCTGTTGCGACCTCGACCTACAAAACAATCGACATAACTCGTGTAATTTTATTGGACACGGTCATCGTTACAAATTTTATTCGATAACATTTGGATTATCCATTTCAACAAATAAAAACAGATACGTAAAATATAATAGTTTGGAATATATCCTAAAATAAGAAAGATTATAATAATTTAATTTTTTGAAATTCATTTTTTTCCTCAATTTTAACCCGCTAAAAACAATATAAAAATTCGAATAAATTAAAAAATATATATATATATATACAGATATATTAATCACATATACAGGGTGTAACTAAATTATCGCACTTGGAGTATACCATGAGATACAGGACGAGAATCTAAGTAAAAAAAGTCCTGAGTCATTTTTTGATACGAGCTTTTAGTTCGTTGTTATACGATGTTAAAGTTAGCAAATTAGCGACCGAGTATAGAAGGAAGATAGGGACGTAGTAAAGCGGAGCGGAGCTGACGATCGCGGCGGGAGAAGAACAACGGTGAGCAGCGAAATGGTTACAATTATATCAATCTCTTTCTTTCTTTCTCTCTCTCTCCTCATCTCCATCTCTTTTTCCTCTCTGTCTCTCTCTCTCCCTCCCTCCCTCCCTCCCTCCCTCTCTCTACAGCTTGTTTAAAGAAATGTTAAAGATCAGAAAGTGCAGAGCTAAATGAATGATTTATTGTTTTCGCAATAAATTATCGATTTAGAATGAACTAATCGGTTATTTATTTTATTAAAACTATAATAAGTGTTCAAAGTGCCCCCCTCCTACTTCGATACATTTTCGATACTTTTTTCTTTGGGGAGCAATCAAAGAAAAAGTATTTATGCATGCAAATATCGAGACAGCTGACGAGATGACAGAATTAATACTCCGCACTATCGAGAGAATCGACAACGATAAAATTCAAAGAGCTACGCGAAACGTGCAGAAAAGAGCACGAAAATGTATCGAAGTAGGAGGGGGGCACTTTGAACACTTATTATAGTTTTAATAAAATAAATAACCGATTAGTTCATTCTAAATCGATAATTTATTGCGAAAACAATAAATCATTCATTTAGCTCTGCACTTTCTGATCTTTAACATTTCTTTAAACAAGCTGTAGAGAGAGGGAGGGAGGGAGGGAGAGAGAGAGACAGAGAGGAGAATGGAGATGAGGAGAGAGAGAGAAAGAAAGAAAGAGATTGATATAATTGTAACCATTTCGCTGCTCACCGTTGTTCTTCTCCCGCCGCGATCGTCAGCTCCGCTCCGCCTTGCTACGTCCCTATCTTCCTTCTATACTCGGTCGCTAATTTGCTAACTTTAACATCGTATAACAACGAACTAAAAGCTCGTATCAAAAAATGACTCAGGACTTTTTTACTTAGATTCTCGTCCTGTATCTCATGGTATACTCCAAGTGCGATAATTTAGTTACACCCTGTATATCAATAAAAATGTATTATTATATGTAAAATGTAAACTTCGAAGACGTGTAGAGGATCGATAAACTAAGCAAAAAGTCTGGTAGAGATATGTTCGTTTTTGCTTTGTTTTGGAGAAAATCGCAAAAAAGACAAAACGTAGTTTTCGTTTTTGTACTTTTTTTTACTTTTCATGTTGTATTTATTTAATTGCTTAATGTAGATATTGTTTAAAATGTTGGCCTCCTGCAGAAATGCAAGCATATCATTAGTACGGACAGCTCGTGTTGCAATTAAACACTAATCTAGTGATACTTAGTACACCGCAGTTTCGATTCGATTCTTTATTGTTTTCTTGAGTTGATTAATAACAAATAAACTGCTTGCTTTAGGACTCTCCATGCAAAAAAGTCTAGTGGTGTCAGATCAGATGATCGGGGTGGCCAAGACACTACTTCTTCACGTCTAAGAATGAAGTAACTACGTTTTGATTTTTTTTTTCGATTTTCTCCAAAACGAAGCAAAAACGAGTATATTTATGCAGAACTTTTTTTTTATTTATCGATCCCTTACACACTTTCGAAGTTTTGATATTTAAATTCCAGACACCTTGTATAGTAACATATACATGAATATATACATATATATCCAAAATTTAGAAATATATACAATTCGGTAAAGAGTTATTATTTTATTGTACATATAAAAATTTTTTTTAATATAATCTTAATAAAAAATAAAAAAAAGAGAAAATTTGGGTGATAGAAAAAAATATATTATCATTGCATAATATATCAAAAACTTTTCGCCAATTAATTAAAAAAAAATTTTATTTCTCGCAGTTTTAAGATGCACGCAATAGCGTGATTTTACATTACGCAATCATTCAACAAACTTCATAAATTTCGTATTTGTTACTCAGATACAATAATAATAATGGCCTTAATGAGATGAAAGAATTACAGTATTTCAATATATTGGTTCCTATTTTAATGACAGCAGTTTTGTTTTGATATAATGTATTAGAGATATGTTTTAAAAATATTGAATCTGAACATATACATAGTATGAATTGTTGGAAATAACAAAATTAACAAAAATAGCGTGTAACATCTTTAAAAAGTATTGCATATAAAATAAAGAAAATCTAAATAAATGAAATTTTAGCAAAAAGAAGAAAGAGAAATAAACATTACTAATTGTAAGTTGTGTTTGTGTATTTTAAATACTCTAAAATCAAATACAAAACATTAAAAATTATTTAAAGATCAAGTGGTTAAGTTAAAAATAAAATTAAGAAGAAGGAGCATATACCACACGCTGGTTCAAAGTAGCGAAAATCTCGTGTATTTGATAATACTAAAATTACATTTATTATTATTTAAAATACATTAGGGGAATTAAAGTAAAAGTTTTTTTTATATACTGAAGATGGTCACATTAAGGACCGAAACGTTTATATTTATGTAATTTATGTATTATCAAATACACGAGATTTTCGCTACTTTGAACCAGCGTGTGGTATATGCTCCTTCTTCTTAATTTTACAAAACATTAACATTAATAATAAAATGTGTATTAGATAAAGCTTTACATTATCCAATTCAATCATCACGTACTCTATCTGTGTACAATAACAGAAGACACCGAAGAAATCTTAGATTTACTAGAAAAATACGGACTCCTTATATAAAAATAAACAATATGAAGTCAAGGGCGATATAAGAAATCAATAAAGATTTTTGTTCAACAATAAAACATATAATTAATAACTACTTTCGAATAATTAATTTGATAGACATTAACATAACGCTAATTCGCTTTCAAACAAATAAATATGATAATATAAATATATATAAAAAAGTTACAAGTTTCGGCTTTCGGATTGAGCCCTGCACGAGCAATCTTTTATCGATTAATTTTGTCCGCCGCTTTTTAATATGTCTGAGAAAGGCTCAATCCGAGAGCCGAAACTTGTAACTTTTTTATATATAATATATTTATATTACATATTTATTTGTTTGAAAGCGAATTATGTTAATGTCTATCAAATTAATTATTCGAAAGTAGTTATTAATTATATGTTTTATTGTTGAACACAAAAATCTTTATTGACTCTTATATCACCCTTGACTTTATATTGTTTATTCTTAGATTTACTTCCTACTTATGTATTTCTGTACATAAGTAGCATACCAAATTATAGCAAAGAGATTCTATAATGAGAATATTATTATAAATAGTCACTACCTCTGCGTATCTGATTGAGACATGCCAACATTCTGATCATAAAAACCGCTGGTACAGTAATTGTATCTTTGGTCTCTTCCAACATAACGGCATTTCTCTTTTTCAGCTGAAAACAAAAGAAAATGTCAAATTTCAAGTCTATTCTATCTTGGTTATTCTACATTGATGTATATGTGTATACACATACACATCTATTATATTCAAAATAAACAAATAACTTACGTCTTCGGCAAACTTTTCGTCAAAGTTTGGTTCGTCGTTGACCGGCGCCCACAATTTAACATCGTAGTCAATGCCAGAAGTAGCCAGCATTGGAAGATACGGATGCGGTTGCAGGCAATTAACGACGTGCTGATCCGCTTCCAATAGCATACACAACCTTGCGGTATCTCTTTCCCACACGAACACGTGACCACAATCGCTACCAGACATGACGAAATCGTTGCCCCAGAAATTCGCTTCCTTGATCATGGTCCTAAAGAAACTAGAGTCAAAAGTGGGGGAAAGGCAAATAATCAGAGACAATTCGGCGGCTTTAATATCGCACAGTCCGCCCAGTCCGCTCGGAGGCTTTTTCGGATCTACTCGAGTCAATGATTTGGCTTCCGATCTTTCAGACATTTACATATTGGTACATTTTGATTAGACTTAGTTAAAGTTATCGTCATTTAAGGTGGTAGCGATCAAACTCTCCAAGTAGATTAGTCTATATGCTAACTAGAAACTATAATAATCGGCATCACAAAGACATCGTTTCTTGTCAGTTTCTTAATGAAATTACTTAATATTGTGTGTTAATCTAATAACTACACTATCAGCTCTAATAAACCTCATTTTTAAATCATTTTTGTACAAAAATCACCCACACGTATTCAAGAACGTATACTCGAGAGTGTGTATCGCTCTCATTAACGATTGTATTTGGTAAATATTATGAGAATCTAAGTGTTAAGAATAGATCAAACCTGGCATTCCTATGTCCTATATATTTTCGTTTGACGCAGAGCTCTGTTAGACAAGCATCATCGAACGTCTCGTGACCTTGCGATGAACAAGCATTGGCAATTGCTTCATCCATTTTCCCCATTGGATTTAATAATCTATAAAAATCTCAAAGTTATTGATAAAGCTGAAGAAATTACAATTAAAAAAAAAACAAGGAAAAGCTTGTATAAAGTATTGTATAAAGATATTCAAAGAAGCAGAAGAAGTAACTTGAGTAAAATTTTCATAATGTTTATAATGTTTCAACAGACCTTTCATTAGATTGAATATCTTCGTCATCGCTATCGATATACACAACTTCTTCAATTTCTTTAAAAAAATTGTGACATTAAATATATATATATATATATATATATATGTATGTAATTATTATTACAAATTTTACGAAGCGATTTAAAAGAATTTTTAAAAAGAGTGACTTAACACTTACTGTAATGTTTGCGATTATTACTCGGGCCTGCATCAAGAGTTCCATCACTACTTCCAGATGGTCCTAAGAAACGAATTTGTTATACAAAGTCAGTTCAGATATGTATGTATTTAAAATAAGTAACGACTTCAACTACTCACCTGGATGATAACTGTCGCGAGTCATTTCATCGCCAACACCAAGTGATATCGTGGCATTAGTTGAACTTTTGTCGGAATATGTTAAACTCACAGCAGGTTCACTGCCATGTCTACACATTAAATAATGTATTAGATAAGAAAATATCAATGTATCTAAATTAAATTTATATCTTACCGTTCAAGGAAACCGTCTCGCATCGTTGTTAATCTATCTTGAAGATTCTCCATCATATTCTCTTGTTTACTAGTTATATCCCCACATGAGGCTTCATTCTCATTTCTATTTCGATTCCATGCATTATCATGCTCAGTTCTGTCGTGACTAGTTGTACATCTTAAAGAAGTAATTTGCGCTCGATCGCTTTGACTAGAATCAGTTTCCATAGGAACATCATCGTTTATACTGGCCGATATACTCGATGATGATAATTGATTGTATTCCTGAGATTGTTCGATTTCTCTCGTTTGAAGTCTCTCAGTATTAATTGTTTCATCCATGTCTGTACTTTCAACTCTATCAGTGCTTGTATTTTCTAAAAACAACAGATACTTCAATAGAATTATGCGAATCAATCGAAATGTATATTATAATCTATATCTATTTTAGTTACCACTTGTTTCTAAAGTATTTCTTTGCTCTGCACTCAATTCAACCGCGTCGTTACTTCTTTCTGTGTTCAATTCAGGATTATTTTCAACATTTTGGACACCTTCTGGTTGTTCAATGACACCTTCTAAACTATCTTCACCTCCAGCACTCAGAGCAGCGCGTGTGGCAGGGTCATTTAACATTCTGCTAAGCACATCCGTCATTCTTTGCATCAAGGACGTATGCAATACTGGCCTTGCCTGAGCGACTTCTGATAAACGATATATATATATATATATATATATGATATTGAAACTTTGCAAAAAAATATACGTAAACAAAGTCAGATAAGAAAAATCACAATTTACCTGTACCACTACGACGTCCTCCTTCTCTTTCTGGACGTGCATCGGGACCGGTATCCGACCAATCACCACGAAGTCTCAAACGACGAACTGGTTGAGATGATCTCAACGGATGCTTCTTTCCTTTTCCTTTTCCTATTGTCGTATCTTTTCGTAACTGCAAACTGCCTTGATCCTGGATATAAATTTTCAAAATAAATTACACATAGGAAATGTACAAGTAAAAATAATCATATATATTTTTTTGGGGGGGGGGGGGAAAAACACATATTTATATATAATATAGAAGCAACACTACGAAATGAAAAATAAGTATTATAATTATTGCGTTACTTTAATACTGAATAAATAGAGGTGATCGCTGCTGTAGCTGACAAGGACGTCTTGCCCGTCCGGGCTATAACTCAACGACGTAATCCTGTAAGAATTGCCTTCGAATTCTGGGACAGTAAAACTGCACAGTGGTCTCACTGAACTTTCCGCGTTCGTCCAACCTAAAGAATGCATATACATATAATCACGGTACTCTGTACCGTGACGTAATACAGTTATGTCCCGTAAAGATTACCGGTGGCCGGTGTACCGAGAGTTCTTCTGTCGAATGTTCTTACAGTGCTATCGGAACAACCGATTGCTATTTGGTGAGGCAATACAGGATTCACAGATAAAGCGGTCACGGCTCTTTGACACGAGATTAGTACATCCTACGAAAATGATTTAACAAATGTATTCCGGATGTATGATATTATATATATATATATATATATATATATATATATATATATATAATTTCAAAAGAATTACACAAAAAATATAGTTAATGATGCTTACTTCTCTACATCTCGTAGTGCTACATTTGTCCTTTATTCTAAGATCAAACCATCTCACAGTCCCATCTTCTCCACAACTTAAGAAACTATGTGGTTCACCGGGTATTGTCGCAATTTCATAAGTAGTGCCGGTGTGACAAGTGAATTGATTATAAAACGTTTCCGTTCTTCTCATTAAATCTGTAAACGCGATATTAATGCTCAGTATAAAAGACGACAAGATGTGTAAGATTTGATTAATTTCTTTGTCCAATCTATTGATTTCTATACCTGTATACAAAATAATGCCATCTCCACTACATGAAACAATACGGTGATCTCCACTATTAGGCAAAAATTTGGCACTAAAAATATTTGCCCTGTGACTTGTCTTATAATCCGTTAATACCTTAAATATATATAGAAAAAAATTGTTAAAACAATGAAAATATTTTATACATATATTTAATTTTTGATAAATTTCTTGAATTAATCTTTTCTTTTAACAATGCAGAGTTTAAAAAAATTTCTGTTTAACATGCGTATATCTTATCTTACAAATATAAGATAAAACTTAACATCATTATTATATCTCTATTAATTATATATGTATGCAAAATATTATTGTATCACTTTAACTTTAATGAGATGTTATTCAAATATAAAATATATTATAAAAAAAAAACAACATAATACATTGAATATTTCACCACGGTTAATTAATAAGGTGGATCTAGGATAATATCAAATGATAAAATTAAACATATGCATATCTGAAGAACTACTGATTTGGCACCAGTATCTGTATTTCTAACTATATGTCAATGTTGGACCTTGACTAGAATTAACTATTCAACATATTTCCTTGAAAAGGTTTAATATTATGATTAATGTAATTTATTCAACTTATTTTCTTCATACCTTTATCTAAAATAAATACATTTTTTCATATGAGAAATATAATAGTATAGTTCTATATATATAATCATAAATTAAACATTACTAATTGATATCAACTGAAATTAAGAAATAGTTGAAACTCTAAGTAAGATATAAAGAAAGTGAGCATGCAAATACATTGTTCTTTTCTATAGATAAAGCACAATGAGATATAATCGTCTCACTACATTTTATACAAATACATTTTGTAGAAATATACATTGTATTTTTGGGATAGCGTTATAAGTAAAAAAAAATATTTCGTGGATTATGATGCATAATTAACTATCTAGACACATAACTTCCAAGGATAAAATCAAAAATAATCTTGGCACAAGATTCTTCTTTGACAGTATCCACAAATAAATTTTAAATTAAGATAAGTGATGGAATATTGCTTTGTCAGACAATATGCGTCAATAGTTGAGTTTGTAATATATATTTAACTTTTTTTGCTGTTAATTTAAAACATGCACATATTTAAGCTTCTACCTAATAAATCTTTATAAGAGAACATCCTAAATACAAATTTGGTAATGTATAGCATGTGTTATCTTTTAATAAGTATATAAGTGTACCTCATAATTATGTGCATTAGTTAGGACGAGATGCTGATCGTCACTTCCAGACAGTATCAATTCTCCATTGCTGTTCCAACATATAGAATTAACACAACCATTGTGGACCTTCAATCTCTTCAGCAATGACATACGCTGCATTAATTGTAAGCTAGCTGTACAACAAAGAAATATGAAATATTGATACTTTGTTAAACACAATTCATATAAACTAATTGAAATAAATCCAAACTTCTAATTAGATTAGACTTATGATAGATCAAATACACAGGTAAATAACGATTTATCGTTTTTGTTTTAATTGAAAATAAGAAAAGAACTGGCATATCTCTCGCTCAGATTAGATGATACATCTCAAAGCAACTAAACTGCTACTTCTTGTCAAACTGTCATATACTTGTAGAATCTGTGCGAATATTACACGAAGCAGAAAGGTTACCTTTGCTGCTGGAATAAAGCTTCAACCTCGTGCAGTCGTCATATGGCTGATAGTAGATATCGCGAAAGATGCTGGCGCGGGTCTTCCTCATGGTTGGATCCTCGATGAAGTTATCAGCTGACTTACAATTTCAACGGCGCATAGATACTCGCAGCGAATGGGTCGCACGAGAGAATTACTTATTGTCGAGTGAATTGCGAGCCTCTATGCGTTGCCTCGTCGAGTTCTTAAGAATTCCGTGGTACGTTGTTATACAGCAAAAATCCTGTCGATGAGTTGACGCGACGACGTGACATGGCACACTCGCGACTAAAAATAAACACGGCGTTGCAGCGTGGAAAATTCGCGTGGTACGATCCTAACGTCTCAGACTACTTTGGAATTGGACAAGCAGCTGAGAGATCGTTTTGTATATATATGTACATATTTACATACGTATGGATGATGTAGATATATACTGTACACTGACGTGCACACGATATTCTCGGCATGGAAAGTCGCATCAAGATTGGCGGCTCGACAGCTCGGAGCGCTAGCATCGTATCCTCGGCCCCCAAATGTAATCTATTGATATTAATTATCTATATTATTGACTGTGGCAACGTGAGATTTAAAATATCACGCTCGATCTGTTTGACAAGCATCGAGAGAGTCCGAAATATGCATTTCCAAGAATTATAATTTTAGAACAACATTTTATCGAGCGACAGTAATAATTATTTATGATCGGTAAAGTTAACAGTAATTTTGCCAACTATTGGTAATTTTACATTTTCGGTAATTTACTTTTCTACACAAATTTCGTCGATATCTCACAAAAATTTGAATTTTTAGAAAGTGACAAAATATTATATAACAAAATCAAAGGAAATATAATAATATCAGATAAAAGTAACAAGTTAAAACACACCGCATTAATTGTAATTTTTAATTGTATTGTGATAAATACACACATACACATAAATATTTAAAATTTTTTAAACTATAATAAATAGATATATATTATAAATCAAAATATTTATAACATTACTGTCATATACATATATATATTATAAAAAATTAAAAAAGATCGTTTATTTTCTTTGGATATTTTATTAAAAAATATTAATTTAAAAATGTTATAATCAAATGTTTACTAAATAAAATTATATTGTTTTATTATTTGAAACCGTTGTGTGTCAAAAAATAAACACATTTGCTCAACTTGTAATAAGAGTTGAGAAGAAATTGAAGTTTTAATACATAATTAAAAAATATTTTATAACAACTAGATTATATTACATATTATTATACGTAATTTTATGTATTATTCTACATTGGCAAAAATACACCATAAATATATTATTATAACGTGTATGAAAAGAATAATTTATACTAGCCAGAGATAATCTTCTTTTCCATTTGATATCTATTTTATAGTTATGTGAAATATCTAGTATACACATGAATTTTCAATCCACTCTCGTCGAGAAACTTTCAGAGAGAAAGAGACATCGTTTCCTCTATTTTTAGAATAGAGTACTCGCATGAAGACTTGGGTCTTTTTGTATTCCCCTTCCTTCCACTGAGGAGTCGGCAGGCTTTGCGCGTGACCAAGTAAAACTCAGAAGAATCACATCGAATTACGACTTGAAAATCGTTAACCTTCGTCAAATAAAGATAAAAGAACAAAGCAATTTATTAATTCGACTTCTCTCGTCTTAAATTCATTATTAATTATATATTGATATGCTCATATCACATGAAGTTCACATTAATTGTATTTTTCGTTTTCAATATAAAATAAAAGATTTAACTCTATTCGGCCATGAAAGAAAGAAGAGTAAGTGTATTCTCATACCGATCATAATCTGATAAGATTCCATGAAATATGATTGTTTATTATTATGTACAGAAGCGAAAGATATTTATACGCCTTATTATGAAAAGTTTACGAAATTATGACGATAAAAATCTTCAACTATATATATCGTAAAAATTGCTTAATCACTTAAATTTATTATCTGTAAACATTGTCACAGAAATATTTTTCACAAGTTTTATATTTTATTTATACATATATATACAATACATACTTCTAATATATATACATATTATACATATATATACAAATTCACGCAACTCTCTTTATTGACTTAGTTCACATTTATGAAAGGATAACATTGATTTACTTATACATAAAGAAATACATCTACGAAAATTTTTTATAAAACGTGACGATGAAAAGAAAAATGACAAAAAATGTAACGTCGTAACGTTTAACACTCTGTATCGAGGATATAAAATTGCTTTTATTCGTCGATAATTTTTTTGCTTTAATCGTCGTCTTCGGAATCCTGACGACATCTTTACCTGACAGTATTAGAACCTTCAACTTCAATCTAATGCTGCCCGGTAAGATGTGAACAGATACTCCATCCGCCGGCAGCCATCTTGATGTCTGGTGAAGAGCGATCTTTGATTTCTTTTTTTTTCAATTACAATTTCTTGCATTCCTTCTCCTTTTATTCGCTGGGCATCCGACTTGGAATGTGGACCTTGTTGAAATTACTAAAAAAAAAATTGTTTTCAGAAAAAATTAATGAAAAAATTACTACTTTGTAAATATAATATATTTTTAAATGCTTATTTATGTTCATATCTGTATTTACTTTTTTTCTGAATAAAATAATTTTATATTAATAAAATCAATAAATACAGCAAATATCGAATTATTGCTTGTGAAATCAAAATATCGCAGAAGCTAATTTCTTATGCGAGAATTACGGGAAAGCATGGTCTTTTGAAGTCATTTTTTTTGCATTTTACACTGAAAAAAAAACGACGTTTATATAGTGAGCGCGCATATTTTACGTTTTCTCTCTCGCTTTCTAATCTATCTATCTTTTTCGTCACCCATACGGCTACATTTAAATATTAAAACGAAAATCCGAAGAAACGACGGACGATCCCTGCATTTATATGCAGGTGTCGTCATAGCAATATTTGTGAAAGCGAGTTCCAAACTGGTCGTCGCACCAGCGCGGCTTTAACGAGTGGACTATATATAGATGACACAAAAATAACGCAACATTTTTTATTTATATTTAAAAGAAATTATTATTATAATAATCTTATACATCACTTTTTTTTGCATCATACATATAATTCTTCTCACATCGTATATTTTAATTCTCTCGATTGTATAATAGTATTAAAATAAATTGTAAATAAATGATAATCCCTACAAGAAATATTTTCTTCTAACATAATTTGACGTGAATAAAATATAAAATATTTTGTTAAATATTCTCTTTTCCCGTGATTTTAATACTTTTAGGCGACCAAATAATGAGATAAATCGATCAATTAAAGAAAACTTTAATTATATTTACGAAAAACAACACAATTTATAATGCGAGTAAATAAAAATAACAATCACTCGATATTATTCACAATTGGCATCACATGTGTTGGTTGTATCAATAGCTCTTTATGTTAGCAACTGCAGTAGGTTGATATTCATAATCAACATTAACATACTTCTTAAAGATGGCTGCGACTACTAAATTTATTTATGATGAAGTATGCATTTGCGCAGATATAGCAGCTTAATTTTTTTTGTTCAAAGAAAGATGTAATGTGTGACAACTTATCTTTAAAACATTTCGAAAGATTAAATAGAGAAAAGACATTTAACGTTTTAAATAATTTTTTAAATTGTTAAAAAAAAAATAGAAAGCAATCTCAATTAACTTACTCGTAATTAACGACATCTTTATTCTTTCCTCACGTACAACTAAATGATAAATGCAATGCAACGGAAGAATAATACAAAGAGTAAATTTACTGGAACGGTTGAAGCACTGAGTTACTGCTAGATTTGTTTGAAATAGAATAGAAACTATGTTCTCGTATGTATCATTCTATTATCAACTATTATCTAAATATTAACTATAATCTAAAGTGATGCAGACCGACAGAAGACCGATGTTGAAATTTCAAGGAAAAAATATTCATCATTTTATAAGTTTGATATCGCTTCGTTAGAGAAAACAATGTATTTTCAAACACATTTTAAACACTCACAATTTGTGCTATAATAGATAAAATATTCGCAATAAATATTTTTTCCATCATAAAAGTATTTTTATACACTGTAATTTTTCACGTACTAAAAGATGAATTAAATATAAAATTTGACTTATAGGCAGAATGAAAGACAGAAAGTACAAAATGTACAGAAAATAAATATATTATATAACATGTATTAATGTGTATAATCGGTATATCCGACCTATTCTCTTAACATTCAATAAGATATTCGGTAAACGATCGAAAAACACTTGTTCAAACCGAAATCAATCTGTATCAATACGGTTGGTAGTTACGGTTTCAATATCGAAAAAACATCTTCGAAGAGAATATATTTTAAAACACCTCTATTAAATATAAAATTATGACAATCTATTCGGTACGGAAAAATTCTTAAAATTTATTCCAAAAAATTGTCAAAAAATTCGGCAAATTCGTCTCATAAAGATTACATTGCTTGTAAGTTGCGAAGTCTTTGATTACGCAGAAACGCGAGAAATAAAATGGATGCTGGATGAATGGAAATGTCGAGTTGTTATAAGATGCAAGATATGCAAGACTAAGACTCCATGTTTGTTGCAGATGCAAATGAAGCCTGTTGATCAACATATCGCACGTATCGTATACATGATACGCATTAAAGTACGCAAATGACTTGGCAAATTCACGATCGTATGTTTCTGATTGATAAAAAAGTAAGAGTTGATATAGTAATGGTCATAGTAACTTATTAGAAATTTTATTATTGCTTATTAAACTCACATAAAGTTAAATATTGTTAAAAACCTTTTTTTACTTCTTTCTCTTTCTCTCCATCACGTTCTTGTTTTTTATTGTCCATGACACAAGCTACAAAAACAATTTCTTTTAAGAGACATTGCTGTATATATGATACAGATTATATGATTCACTTCTCCATTATTTGAACAGAGAGAGAAACATAATAGAAATAACATTTATGCTACATTGATATTGTAAAGAGTATACAATATGTAAATTATAAGATACTGTAGTCCTATTATTATGTAAATTATTAAGTTTACAACATATGTACATATATATATATATATATGTATAAATACAATGGCTGCGTTCAGCAGAGAAAGCAGCTTTGCTGTTGTAAAATTCTTTAATATGATTGGTCTTGCCCTTATTTCCTCATTAGATCTAAATGTATAAGAATCATATTCAAGAATTTTACAACAATTGCAAAGCTGCTTTTTCTGCTGAACGCAGCCATTGAGTTGTAATCGTTACATTTGTTATTAATATGATACGTGCAGCTATGAATATACGAAAGAAAAAAAATCGTGGCGACTTATTGGATAATATTTAACGGAAAAATCTAAAAATATAGCATGTCGAAAAAA